AGTGACAACCTCATAAATTAGGGAGAAAGGTTAAATAGTCCCTATTTTATCACACTTATCCTTTTTCTATGAAGACATTTTTACAGCTGCCAATCAGGCTCCAGGGTCAGAGGCAACACCTCAACAGTACAAACTAACTGCCAGGCAAAAGACGCCTGTCCACATTTTTGTGCACTCACAAGTCAAAACCAGTCACCTCGTTTGAAGACCGCAGACAAATTGTAATTAATAGGTACAGTTACAGATTTGGGTCCTGTGTTTGGAAAATCATTGTTTTATCTTGTGATGGAAACTAAATATCCAAATAAGCTGTGTGTTACTTAATGTGTCATATTTTAATATACTTCTTTTTTTTTTAAAGTATATTTCCCCAAAACATAAACCAGTCCTAGAGATCAAGCAATTGATCATTTATCATCCAAGTCAAGAAAAACTGCATCATTTCTGGTTCATAATGGCTGATTGTCAGGAGGTTTAAGTGGGTATGGTTTTATCCTCAAGGTGGGTCTCTGAGGTGCGACTATGCACATAACCACCACTAGTCCCCATGAAAGAATCTGTATTAACTTACTTCCCTGAAGTCAAAGCATATTCCTGTTATTTTTGGCCATTTAAATCAATGAACATGCATAAATTGCAAACACAACTGACAAGAAGTCGCTGTTGTCATGCTTTTGAAGGAGTAAATTTAAAAATTAGCAGACATGTGGATGTCCTCACAGGTCCTGAAGATCCCATTTGATTATAAAATTTATATGAAATTTATGAGAGCAGATCCTTGGATCCTCGCAGATGGGAAAATGATAATATAACAGTAGCATTTACCTTCTTTAGACGTAAATAATGATGATCTATGTTAGTTTGGACCTCAAGTGATTTTATTTTTTCAAAGTTTAAAAGAAAGAGTTTAAAAGAAACCTATTCTCTATTTAAGGAAACAGGATGAAACCTTGAGCACCTTTGTGGCTTTGTTTGGTAGAAGGGCTGCACATAGTAGTTTTGTACTCTCAAAGAAAAACTGCAAGTGTGTATAATCTGAATTTGTTCATTTGTATTTTATTGCAATGCAAAAAGGTTTATGAGTGTACCTACACAGAGGCATATTTTTTCTGTTAATACTGCTAGTGCAACCTTTCGGCGCTAGAGCATTTATTTATTTTTGATTCATTTATGGTTGACTGAAAGTTCATTGTTTATTTTTCCAGGTACACTGCCACCTACTGTGACAGCACAAAAGAGAAGTGCAGCTTGACTAATTCACAGAAACAATGTGAAAAACTCCATAATGATTGTGAGATCAAATTTGATGAATTCACAGGGTGTTTCCTGGCTATAGTTAAGGCAATGACCCTGTGTTACCTTAATTAACTGAAATTCTTGGCCATTTCATAAACAAAAATGTATTTCATGCTCATGTAACCCCTTTTATGTGCAGGGAAAACACAGATTTATGATGAAAGGGGTTCACAGAATCACATCCACAGGTGGTGTGTTTAGTTACCAGTTACCTGCGAGCTTATTGAGGCTCACATTTTTACACCCTTCCTGGAGAATGGCAGTTATCCACCCTGTGAATACATTTAAATCTTTCATTGTGTTATTGGCGTGGCTCCTCATCTGTAGCTCGTCTGACGGGTTATATTTAAAGGTGTAAAACACAGCAGAACTGGTTTATAGTCAAACATTAAGAGCAATTCACATGCATGCATAAGCAGTGCATTTACTGGTGTTTTGCGTATAAAAAAGACCTACACTTTAAAAGGTGCCTGCCAAGATGAGCTCTTTAACAACTGTAAATTTCCTGCTGCTCCACACCGCGCTCTTTCTGCTCTTATCTCCTCCGTGCTCTCTTCTTATCTCCCTACCCACCTCTCAGGCTCACTCTGTCCCCCACCCCCCTCGCCATCGCTGTGCTTGGTGCTGAGTGAAGGCAGCAGCTGCCAAGTCGAAGTGCCTGCTACCTGAACTGCAAAGAGAAAGCCGAGCCAGTATTTAGTGTATATGTATGTGAGAGAGTACCAGGGGAAGCCAGCTGCCTCTGTGCTAGGCAACATGCCAGAGTGACGAGGAAGAGGCAGAATCTGACCTCCTGACCTCCAAGCAGCATCCTCTGACCGAGTTCTCAGCCTTATTCCACCTTTATTTTATTTGTTTTAATTATTCACAATGTACAGATTTACCAGGGAGGCGCACAGACAAAATGTGGCCACATTAGCTGTAAATATTCTTAAGATTTAGATATATAT